GTTAAAGTGGATGACTTAAAAGTTGGACAACACTTCGCTTTAGCACTTGGCTTTTCCTTTGATATGACCTAGGTTCAGTTATCTCTAAGTCTTAGTTTATTACCTCTTATGACTAATTAATAGTATAGATTCCTCAACAATCTCAATGTCTAGTGATCTATAGCTGATAAGGGACAACCATGTAGGATGATATTGGAGGTATGGTCCGTTTGGTATACAAAATATAATGTTTGGAAATCCCACTTTAAACACATCACTAATTCCAACCTAGATATCATCCATGTAAGTAGATAAATCAGTATAACGACATGGAATTACTGATAAATCTTATTTATAAGTTCATAATAACGACTTATGACTATAAATATAAGTTACACTGAAAGAGATGAAGTGTAGCTTAACTTACAAAGATTTTCCTGACAAAAGTTAGAAAATTGCATTGGCAGAGCTTCTACTCGCTAGCTACTACTATTTTAGGGATCGCATGGCTTTGCCGAAGGCTAAAACTAAGGGAAAACGGGCTAAAATTGAAAGCAACTCGAGAGAGAAGATCTTGGGAGGTGTGGGAAGGAAATGAGGCTTGGCCTCCTATTTATAGTCGTTTTTAGGGTGTACGTCGTGCAAAAGGGGTGAATGCCGCACATTTTAAGGCTACGTCTCCCCAACCACTTTTTGCCATGTGTCAGCCTCTCTATGGTCCACGTTTTCACCTGCTAGCGTCGCGCACCCGACACTCACCTGGCGCGCACTGCGCGGGGCGCAAATCGCAAATTTTGTAAATTCCTACGGACTTCGTTTCCGACGTTCTTTATATCTTCGGAAAGCTCTCGACGAGATCTACAACTTTTCTTTAGACTCCATCAGCTAATTCTGACTTTATTTTTTGTCCTTATTTTTATAAGATTAAATGACTTTGCTAAAATCACAGCTCTCTCGTACGGACTCCATTTTTGGCGTTCTTTTTCTCAAAATTCCTATCTTAAAGAGTAGTACGAATGTCCTTTTGGTGACTTTAGCTAAAAGTCAATCATTCTCTTCGTAGCTTTTAACGTAACACATTCCTTGTGCGCAACTAACTTTTATATCTTATAAGAATCATATCTAATTCACACGGAGTCAGATTTCTACGAAATTTATATTTTCGGGATCGGGACGACGTGTACTTTCTATATATATATATATATATATATATATATATATATATATATATATATATATATGTTTTGGCGCACTTATTTTTACGATTTACAGACGATTCGGTTGGTTTTTCATATTTTTCTTAATACGAAACTTATATTATATCTTAAATGTCTAACCCGATTTTGTGGACGTTACATATCATGGTCAAGTTGAGGGCAATCCGGTTTTGTGCTAAGGCCAAGATACCTAGGGTGAACCAGCTTTATGCTGAAGGCTGGGGTAGACAAACTTTATGTTGAAGGCCAAGGCTAGCCAGTTTTATGCTGAAGGCCAAAAGGGTGGACCAATTTCGTGCTGAAGGCCATTGTATGTATATTGTTGTGTATGGTATTTTGAGGAATTGACTAAGTTTTGTATTTACCTTTGTGGATTAAATGTTTTTTAGGTACTTATCAGAGCGTAGGAAGGCGAAGGTGGACTGTACACACATCAACAAATTTATGATTTGAGATTACACGTTGCTTTTCTTTATAACTCTGATTTTAAATTATGGTTTATGAACAAACGGTTTTACGTTGAATATATCTTTATGAAAAGTGGTGTTTGTTCTATTTTGAAATGAAAATTTTATTTTTAGAATCAGGACGTTACAATTATGTGTCTAGGATCATATTGGATGCCACATAGATTATATACAAATTTACATATTTGAAATCTACTCCATGATTTGATAAAAATACCAAAAACAATTTGTTGTTCTAATAAATACAATTGAAAGATGAACGACTTGAAAAACAAAATTGTAACATCCCAAAAATCATGACCAAAAGTTTTTTTTAAAACATTACTAATCCATAGCATTAAGTCATTCAAACATACAAAAAGGGGTTATAAGACAAATCCGAGTATCTTTTCCAAAACACTTATTCATTTTATCAGAGTAAACATCCCATGCTAAACTTCTTGGTGTGTGCCATGCGATCATCCCGAGCTCTTCATTCCGCTATCGGAAATACCTGAAACCAAAACTGAAAACCGTAAGCACGAAGCTTAGTGAGTTCCCCAACCTACCATATACCATACATATCTATTGATCCATACATGCCATACATAATCCTGAGCACATAACCACATACTGGGCCCCCGCCCGCTGCATTGGGCCTCGCCCGCCATCGGACCCCGTCCGTCATCAGGCCCCGCCTGGCATCAGGTCCCACCTGGCATCGAGCCCCGACCGGTATACATATCTGTTTCCTTTAGGCCCCGCCTGTCTCTGGGCCTCGCCCGCCATACACATACATATGATTAAATAACATACTGAAACATACATAAGTATTCCCTAACCATTCCCTGCTCCAAGGCCTCACCTAACTTGGGCCCCGCCCCTGGTCTGCTACTAAAGTAGTGGAACCCCGTCCACACCCCTATTGGTAGTGAGATACGGGCCCTCGCCCACACTTACATCCTTCCTATCACGGGCCTCGCCCCTGCTCTGCTAATATCGAGATATGAAACCCCATCCATACTCCGCTTGTGATGAGTTACGGGACCTCGCCCACACTCACCTCCCTACCAGACACATACAAGCATCACGAAGACAACAAGTATAATCTGACGCACTACATAAGAATCTTTCTCGGGAATACCCCGGCATCGGACCCCCGGCCCGGAAACATACTATTATCTAACGTACTTCGGGCTTACCCTGACATCGGACCCTCGGTACGGATCCTATCATACCGACTCATGCAAGAATCACAAAGACCTCTAGCATCCTAACCTTCCTCGGGGCCTCGCCCGACATCAGGTCGTAACCCGGAACACATATCAATAAGTGCCTAGGGCTAACCCCTGGGTCTTCCTTCTACACATAAGCATAAACATGAACATGAACATAATGGGCCGGCATTGTGGCTGTAGACCCATGCACACAGTGAGGAGACTCACCTCGCACTGCTGAAAACTCGTTGAACACTTCTGACTGCTAACTGGCAACTTCTGAACCGCTGACCCTTCGGCTTCCCGAACTATCAATACCCAAAACAACATTTAGACCACAATAAACCAAAAGTCAACCCTGGTCAAACTTGGTCAAAGTCAACATCCAGTTGACCTGACTCGCCGAGTCCATACTCTTCCAATCCCAAAACAACCCCGACTCTACTCGTCGAGCCTTGCAAGAACTCGACGGGGTTCTCCTTCAACCATGCCACTGGGACCATCTTCAACCGACTCGTCGAGTTCACCATTGAACTCGTCGAGTTCATCATCCACATATGAATGTCTCTAGTCTGTGACTCGTCGAGTTGTATGAACAACTCGTCGAGTCCATCTTCATAACTAAGAAGATTGCCTTAGACTCGCCGAGTTCTTCCTTGAACTCGTCGAGTACGATGAACTTCATAACCATTATGGACCCAGACTGGTTGAATCCTTTACCAACTCCACTCACTAATCTGAATCATAAACAGAAGGGTTTGGGTTTGCGACCCGACTCGCCGAGTCCACCTTGTGACATTTCTATTCTGTCGATTACAGTCCATTCCATCACCTTCAACCCATAGATCTGGACTTCTAATGCCAGCATTATACGTAAAGTTGCTAACTTTACGTGCATGCAAGGTGCTATGGAGCTAAAACTCTTAATCCAAGCTAAAATGAAGGTCTAGGACATGAAATGGAGCCATAGTTGGATAAAGCTACCCACTCAGAGCTCCTCAAGCTTAGAAATGCCCGGATCTGAAGTCCTTTTCATCCTCAAAGGCTCAATACTCAGATTGGCCTTGGAAATGGCCCAAAAATGGGAAAATACAAGCTAGAAAGGGAATCTAGATGATTAACAGCCAAGGTATAAGCTTTATACCTTCAAATGATCTGCAATGCTACCCCAACTCTGGATCTATAGCTTCTTCTTGCACCACCAAGGTCCTTCTTCCTTCTCCAAGCTTCAATTCACTCTCAAGGCAAGAAATAACTCAACAATGGAGTTGGGTGGCTAGGGTTTCGAGTTCTGGACTAGAGAGGCTGCAAATGAAACCCTAGGAAGGAGAATAGGATGCTTAAATAGGGCACCAAGTCCCGAAATTAGGGTTTCCAAACCCAGACCAGACTCGCCGAGTCTACTTGCCGACTCGCCGAGTCTACTTGCCGACTCGCCGAGTCGGTTACTTAATCCGCGGCACGGATCACGCTCTGACTCGTCGAGTTCCTCCCTAGACTCGATGAGTTGACCCCTTTGACTTATGGTTTTTCTTTCCTTTCCGGGTCTTCTGGATTCTGGGTGTTACAAAAATGACATTGAATCAGCGGCCATGGCATTAGCTCTTTCAATCATCAATGAAGTGTTTTTTTAATAACTCAAACCATCATGTGATTTTGTTGCATTTATCTTCATGTCAAGGTTGTTTGTATTTCTTCATCGAGTGGATGTAAAATGACACTTTCGCTCTTAATATTGCATTTCATGGTTCGAAGTAATTAGAGATTACATCAACTTATACTCAAATAACATTAACTACCAATATCATAACAGTTCATTTCACATATTTATCATGTTTATAAACCTCACTTAAATCTACAAAAATTTATATTTAAGCTAGATCACATGAATTTGTCCACGTAGTCAATGTTATTTAACATATTCATAATGATAAGAATATTACAAACTTTGACTGGTTTATATTGTTTGGATCGTATCACATATTCTCATAACGTACCTAAAGTTACTCAGAGTTAGACTAGCATCGTCCAACATACGACTTTTAATCATTTTGATGCATTTTTCCAAGAACATGCATATAATACTTTGCAAAGTTAAATCTTCATAAACGAAGTCAATTAGTAGTCAAAAACACTTTAAAGGCCCACGTACATACCAATATGATTAAAATGTTACACTATTCATTTCATCTACTAGCTAGCTAGTGATCTGTTCTAACAAAGATCCGAAGTTAAGATATGACAACTTTAAAACAAATACAATATCATTTGAGCTGAACTCGATATCACAAAAGCTGTTTGCTCAACGATTTCCAAGGTGGACTTGATCAACGGTGAAGTTCAATCGTTCTTTTTTTTTTACATGAAACTTAGACGTAAATCTAGAGAAGGGTGTCGATGAGGATAATGATTTTCCATTTCCGTTCCACATGTATACATGGTCGGATATGGCGATGTGTTTTCTTTGCATTCATCGTTTGTGAACGCCCTCGAGTTCACTGGAAAAAGCTGCAATGTCTCTATCACCCTTTCCGTGTCTGTTACTTCAGCAAAATCTGTTCACACAAGAAAAGTAGAAGAAATTATAAATCATCCAGCAATAAATATGATAAAAGATCAAGAAAATGTAAACCGGATCTAAACTTACGTTGTTTTGCAACATTATGGTCGTTTTGATCATATTCAACATAAACCCGACGACGTTTTTGTCGTTCCCTAGCTTTATGGTTCTGAAACCAGTAAAAAACATTCTTGCTCTCGATCTTCCCATAAAAACTCAACTGGGATGAGATCTTTTGAATCTGGTCAGTACTTGGGGTTCGTAAACCGGACCTGAACAAGTCCGTCAATACTTTGACTTGTTCGTTGGTTGGATTCCACCGACCACACTTGGCACCACCGCCCGCACTGCGGCTAGCTTTCAGACCAAAACCTGACATTCCCTCATCCATATTTAGATTTCTGAAGATGGGCGGGTCTTTTTGTTTTTGATCAGTTTCTGAACTGAAAAGATGCAGCGTACGTGTTGGTGCATTATATAGTACAATTGATGATTATTTGTAGACTTTTTTAATTAGGAAAAAGAAAGTAAGTGGAGGAAAATAAGGTTTTTGTTGGGTAGTGTTTGTTATTAATTATAATAATATTTTGATGTTGCTTTGAATTTAGGAAACGGGATGGGAGAGTTTTGAGGATTTGATCCATTTCTTTAATTCAAATGTTTTTTGCTTGGTTTTTTGTGTAATCTTGATAGAGATAGACATGCACAAAGCTGCAAATCTTTGAAGATTAGGCATCCCTCAAGGGCAAAATGGTAACTTCAAGCTATGTTTTCCCCGTAACATATGTAATATATTGGTTATTGTTTTATCAAAAATATACAATTTATCAAAAACAAGAGAAATGTAAACCTAAGTATGTTGATAGAGCTATTTTTTTTTTCCTGATTATTGCTATGTAAAGATATTTTGTGAAGATGTATATAGTTTTAAATATATAACTTTAACTATTTACATAATAATATAATTGTATTCAGTGTTGTGTTAATCATAAGATTGTACAAGCCTACAATTAAAAAATGGTATCGGTCCTAAAAATATCAGTTTTAGAGCAAGATTGAACCTAGGATTATAAGATCACACGTAGGATCTTACTATCGTATATGATTCGATCTCATTCTTTCTATTTAATTTGGCTAAAAATGTAGACTTTATTTTTTTTTCTAACTCATTTAAACTGATTTCACATATCAATTCAATAATTCATTAGTTCATAATTTAACACAAAGCCTCAAAGATTCATTAATTCGGCTCAAAATCGAGCATGGCAGATTGCATGTAAGAGTCTCACAGCTCCATCCCTTCATCTCAAAATTAACAAAGCATCGTAACATTCAGGTTTGTCCTTTTTTGCGATTAAGATGCTCGTGTGCTTTAGATATACAATTAATATGTGATGATCTTCATACCTTCATCTCAAATTTGACAAAGAGTTTCACAGCTCAATCCTTTCATCTTGAAATTTACAAAGCATCGTGACATGGGGGGTTGTCCATTTTCGTACTTAAGATGCTTGTGTGCTTTTAGAAGTATAATCATTAGTTCAATGATAAAACATAAAGCCTAAAAAATTAATTAATTCGACTCAAAATCGGACATCGCAGATTGCATGTGGCCACAAGGAGCCTCACAATTCCATCCCTTTATCTCAAAATTGAGAAAGCCCAAGTCTTAAACTGTTTCCTTATTATAATGTCATTTCTTCTAATATAAAATTTACTATTAGTATACATAGAAAGCTAGGGTCATAATTTTTTTTTTTTTTTTTAGATTTTGAGATTAATGTTTTACACACTTTTGGATTAATTGGAGATTATCCTTTCTTAACAACTATGAGCGTTCTTGTGGGTGTTGAGATTTTCACATTTGTTTCCGGATTTCTGTGTTCCTATTTTATTCCACATAATTTGGTCTCATAAACCAACAAATATATCGGCTTTAGTGGAAAACATCACGTAACCACAACTTATTACACGATCGGGACATGAATATGACTATATGAGGGTCGTCAATGTGTGAAAGGTAGACCTAGATGTAGTCATAGACTCATAGTCACTTATCTCTTTATGACAATCATGATTATTACTATCACGATTATTTTTAGCACGTTTCACTATCTAAATTTCTACTAGATACTATGACGACGAGCCACGCAATATGAGTCTGAAGAAGATGAGAGAAGCAATGTATCAATATAACATCCATGAATTGAAAGAGAGGTTCCAAGAAGATAATACCATGTTTACTGATTTTTTTTGTCAGAAATAGCCACTATATTTTAATTTTATACATATTAGGCCCAAAAATATAAAATTTTGATTGTGCCCCTCCCCCTCCCAACCCAAAATCAAATGTTGAAGCTCCGTCCATGCTTACTGATAGTGATCCCATCAATGATATTGGAATCATCATTTAGATTTTGTAAATGATACCAGCCACACATAAGATTCAAATCCTCGGATATTAGACACGTCCACAATATGAATCCTATTGATGACATGTCCAATAAGTTTCTATATATGTTGGTGTATCCCCTCTCTCCATAAGAACTCTTTCAGGTAGATAGTATTGGACTCTCTCTCTCTCTCTCTATATATATATATATATATATATATATATATATATATATATATATATATATATATATATATATATATAAGTTCATGTGAGAACACATGAGAACATAGGACAATTATCAGTCAGTCAATATATATATAATTTAATAACTAAAAAAATTAATTGATCTTACATTATTAAGGGAATTTTTCGGATATGCACATTATTTTTAATGAAAAATTCAATGATAATTTGCTACAATTATGGTAAATTAAATGTAACACCCCGTTTTCTAGGTATCAATTTTATGCTTTCATTTTTTAGGATTGGGGTTGGCCACGACGTGGTGCTAAGGATTACCACGGCGTGGCAACCATTTTAAGGTCGTGTATCATTTAAGTTGCCACGACGTGGACATGCAATGGCCACGACGTGATGATGACAGTATGAAAACCCTAGATTTCTAGGCTTGGGCCCTATTTAAATGAAGTGATGGCTAGGGTTTCCTCCACCCTCAGCCTTCATCACTCTTCAGTCCAGAAGCTAAACCCTAGTCCTCTCTCCTCCATTTTTGAGCTCTTATTGGTGTTCTTAATCTTTTAAAGAAGGAAATAAGTCTTGTGGAGCTAAAAGATTAGCAAGCTAGCATCATTCTAGCCTCTTTGAGTACATCTTAGACCTTTATGAGTTTTTAAGCTTCTATCTTTTTGGTTCCTTCATTCTAGATCTAGGTTTGGATGCATGTTCTTAAAGATTTTGAAGATTTGAGTGGAAGGATTCAATAAAGTTTGGATAAGTATGTCATTGTTTTCATCGACGACATACTTGTGTATTCTTGGAGTGCTGACAATCATCAGAGGCACTTGAGGGAGGTTGAAGACACGCTATAGAAGGAGAAATTGTATGTGAAATTTTCAAAGTGTGAATTTTGGTTGAGGGAGGTCCAGTTCCTTGGACACATAGTCGGGTCAGAGGGGATGAAGGAAGACCCAACGAAGATAGAAACGGTTAAGAAGTGGTCGATACCGAGGACTCCCATCGACATTCGAAGTTTCTTGGGTTTGGCGGGTTATTATCGGAGGTTCATCAAGAATTTATCCAAGATTGCGGGTCCTCTAACCAAATTGACAAGGAAAGCAGGGCCATTTGCCTGGTCTGACAAGCATGAGGATGCATTTTTAGACCTTGAAGGGACTTCTGTGCGAGGCTCCTATTCTTTCTCTTCCTGAGGGGAATGATGACTTTGTGGTTTACAACGATGCATCGTATTCAAGCTTGGGATGTGTGTTGATGCAGAGGGGAAAAGTGATTGCTTACGCTTCTCGATAGTTGAAGAGTACTGGAATGAACTACTCGGTACATGACTTGGAGTTAGCAGCGGTTGTGTTTGCACTTAATTTTTGGTGTTACTATTTAAATGGGACGAAGTGTATGCTATATACTGACCATAAGATCTTGCAACACATCCAGAATCAGAAAGAATTGAATATGAGACAGCGGCGTTGGGTGGAATTATTAGCTGATTATGACTGTGAGAATAGCTATCATCATGGGAAAGCAAATGTGGTAGATGATGCTTTAAGTTGTAAGGAACCAAGAGGAGCTTATCACCTTAAATCTATGGGGTGGTAATAGTTCCAGGTATTTTCGAGCAGATTCTGGCTGCTCAAGAGGAGGGTTTGAAAGAAGAGCATGTGAAAGAAGAGGTTATGGTTAAGGAGCAGGCCTTGTTGGTGGATGATAAACGGGGACTAAAGACCTTTCGGGGGAAACTTTGGATCCCCAAGGTGGGTGGTGTACGTGAAACTTTGCTTCAAGACACACACAAATCGAAGTATTCGATACATTTGGGATCAACAAAGATGTATCGGGACCTAAAAGCCAATTACTGGTGGCCAGGAATAAAGAGGGAAGTGGCAAGATACGTAACTGAGTGTGTGACTTGTGCTTTAGTCACGGATGACCACCAGAAGCCGTATAGTGCGCTACAGCAGCCAGAGATTCCAGAGTGGAAATGGGATAAAATCACGTTGAATTTTATCACAAAGTTGCCTAAAACCTCTCGAGGTAATGACATGATATGGGTGATTATATACAGGTTGACAAAAAAGCGCGCACTTTTTGGAAACTAAGGAGAATGAAAAATTAGAGAAGTTGGCAAATATGTACGTCGAGGAGATTGTCACGAGGCATGGTGTGCAATTATCTATTATTTTTTATCGTGACAGCCGTTTCGTGTCGAGATTTTGGCAAAAACTACAGGAGGAGTTGGGTACGAGGGTGCACCTGAGTACAAATTATCACCCTTAGACTGACGGGAAAAGCGAGAGGACTATTCAGACTCTAGAGGATATGTTACGTGCATGTTTTATTGAGTATGGAGGTTGTTGGGATACTCACTTAACCTTGGTGGAGTTTTCCTACAACAACACATATCATGCTAGCATTGTTATGGCTCCGTATGATATACTTTCTGTGAGGAGGTATTGTACACCTACTTGTTGGCTGGATCCGGGAGAAAAACTGTTTGCGAGCTCTGAAATCGTGCAACTTACCGAGGATAAAGTGAAGATAGCGCGTGAGAATTTGCGCGTGGATCATGAACATTAAAAGAAGTATTCAAACATGAAGCATCGACCGAAAACTTTCGAGGTGGGAGAGAAGGTGATGTTGAAATTCTCACCTTGGAAGGGGATTATTTGTTTTGGAAAGTGGGACAAGTTGGGACTGCGCTATATCTAGGAGCCCGACGAAAAGAAGCTTTCAGTTCAGAATTCTGTTCGTGCAATTTCCATGCTTTTGCTAAAATTCATGTAAGTTAAGCTGCACTTATTTTATTTCAAGTGTAACTTATATTTATGTTCATAGTCATTATTATGAACC